GCAAATGGCTGCAATATAACAAAGAGTGAAAAATTGAAGGGGGTCTGAATACTTTCCGTACCCACTGTATAATAAAATAAATGCACATATAAAATATTATATATAAAATATATATAAAAAAATATATAAAAAATTATAATAATATATAAATAATACAAAAATAATACTGGTATGGTGTATATTTGCAAAGACTAAAACAATTTTATTCTATTTTAATTTAATTTAATTTGGTAACTCAGATTGTAATAAATAAAAAAATCAATAAAAATGAATAGAATCTAGATGAAAACTAGATGGAAAAACTTACTTCTGTACATTTCAAATTTATATTTGTCATAATGTATTTAGACTTATGTAGTATGAATCTTTTGGCTTTATAGTCCAGTCTCTGGAGTGGACGGTGCAGTATGAGGACTATAAGGACCATCTGGTGGGTCATGCGGTGCTGATGCTCACTCTCTCTGGACAGGTCACTGAGACTAGACAAACTCTGGCCAAACAGTTCAGCTTCAGGCTGCGCACACCAGACCTCATCATCACTGTGAGTTCAGATGACTCACTGTATATTGAGATTACACATGATATTATCCATCATGGCAAAATATTGCATTAATGTGACTGTTGTGTGTTATTTTCTCTCTTAGCCTGTATGTGATGCTGTGCTGGGCAGAGAGCTGAAAGTCAAAATCAAGTTCCAGAACCCACTGCCCTGTGTGCTGAAGAACGTCATATTCCGGATTGAAGGATTGGGAATGCAGCACGTCAAAACCATTCACTATGGGTAAGACATCCATTTGCAATGACTGAGTCAAACTGTTTTTCGTAATACTAATACATATAACTTTTACATTTATATTTTTGAAATAACTTTTTTTTTCATACTTTCTTTCAGTGATATTGCAGACCAAGCCTCAAAGTGTCTGACAGAGACAGTTGTCCCCAAACGGTCCGGCCCACAGAAGCTTCTAGCAACACTTGACTGTCCTCAGCTCACTCAGGTGCATGGGGTCGCAAACATCCTGGTCAAAGATCACTGAATAATCTTCACTTCATCTTATCAGTGCAAACATCTACATTCTTAAAGGGGTCCTATTATGCTTTTTCACTTTTTGAGTTTTAGTCAGTGTGTAGTGTGTACGTTTGGGCATAAAAAAGATCTTCAAACTTACAAATCTCAAAGTCCACTCCAAAGGGAGATATTTCGTTTTTAAAAAATCCCTTTTCAAGAACTACAACGAACGGCTCGTTTGGACTACAGCGTTTGTTTTCCGGGTTTTGTGATGTCACAAAGCGGCCCATTAGAATATCATTAAAATAATTCCCGCCTACGGAAATTCGAATGGTTGGAGGGTGGGGAGGGTCGAGGTCGTGGTGCATCAGACAAGACGACGACGAAGAAGAAGCGCTGCTGTAGCCTCAAGTTTCCGCAAGTTATTACACATGCACCTGAATAATTATGTATGCAAATATGTATGTTACAATTATGAAAACGTTTTTATAATAAATTGCTGACAGTACAATACTGGACAATGATG